ATGATGCCAAACTAGAGTGCGGACTCCGTGGTGATTTTTTTGTTTGGTCAATACCCATTTGGTGATTTTTTTGCTAGACAAAAATCACCTTAATGTTAAGAGGTGAACGAAAATCAGAAAAAGGTGATCTTTTTGAGTGGCTTTTATTTTGTGAAGTACGGTAACGACTATCTTCTGCCATGTTTCTCCCAGCGTCTCGTGTGCTGATTGCGGCATTTCTTGCGGGGAGTTTAGGCCACCGCGGACTAAAAAAACAATCGCTTGACGTATCGGGTGCGGTTGCGGCCTGCTTTGTGGGTTTCTTCACGCTCGCATCAGGCTACAGATTCGGTATAGTGAAAATATCATCTTTAAGTGCGTGCTCTTATGACCTATTACAGGCCTTCTGCTTCTGGGTTTCTACTTTTCCGGCAGCAAGCTCACAAAGGTGCGTGCCACCGTCAAAAAGCAGCTGGACGCCAACTACAAGACTGGCGGACAGCGATCCGCCCGTCAGGTGCTAGCGTGCAGCCTCCTGGCTACATCTATCTCCGTTTACTCCGTCGCTTGTTACGGGGACGATGACAAACCCATCGATTTTATGCGTGCTCCAGGGCATAGCTATCTACTGGCCAGTTTCATTGGACATTATGCGTGCTGCACGGCCGACACATGGGCTTCTGAAATTGGCGTGCTTAGCAAAAGCGAGCCGCGGCTAATCACAACGTTACGAAGGGTGCCGCCTGGTACGAATGGCGGCGTGTCTGTGCTAGGTCTGGTCATGTCGATGCTAGGTGGAGCATTTGTTGGCGCTTTGTATTATGTGGGTAGTCTTGTCTCCGGGACGGCACAATTTAATGTCATCACGCTGGGTGCTGCAACTGGACTATTTGGCTCCGTTTTGGACTCGTTTCTAGGCGCCACGCTGCAGGCTACCCGCTACGACCGGTCCTCACGATATATTTGCGATGATTCCAAAACGAAGGGCAATGTAGAGCATGTATGTGGCTTCGACCTAATGAGCAACGAACAGGTAAACGTCGTATCTGTATTCGTGACGACGATACTTAGCGGCACTATGGCAAAATATTTGTTTTCATGAGTGTAAGCTCCAGGTTGCGGATATGTACTCAGCATTCAAAATTAACAGGATCGGTCTGCAAATGTAGCGATTCTCAAGCTATACTCTATTAACTAAAAAGCAAAATATTAACCTCATGATGGCTTTGGCGCCACACTATTCAATCTCTTTGCCGTTATTTTGCTCGTTTTAGAGCAATATTTTCACGTGCGTTGCTCCTTTTGATGTTGTCCTCGCGTTTTCAGTGATTTACATTCACATTCCGCTGATATAATATAAAGGCACCCGCAAGAGTGTTAGGGTTTATGGCAAATTACGTCTTGACTGTTTTTAAGCGATAGCCATTTCACCGATTGCTGGACTGACTGAAGCGCTTCTTCATAACTTTTTGGCTCGAGCTATTGCGCCTTTGGTGCGCTCAAGAGCAAACATTTATACTTATTTATTGCTTGCTTACATATAGCTTTTAACTGAAAATCAACTAACTCTGGGTTACTGACGAGCACCGTGCAACGCAAAATCTCCTCCCCAAGTGCTTATTATGACATGGTTGAACCGCGGTCATAAAACATACATTAAATATGCGCGTTCTTAAATGACAGACATTTCACAAACTCAATGTATCATATAATTGATGATTGCAATACTGGTGCTACTTAGCTTGAAAATTATCTAGTCAGCTTTCAGCTCACACGACGCTGGAGGTTTATCCGTCAACTCCGCAAATATAATGCAAAAGTTGCAGTAGTAGTGTGTCAAGTGAAGGACAAAATCGGAAGAATCAACGGCTCGGCCAGCAAATATATCCAGCATTTACTAATTAAGACTAGGATAGTGATTTGATTCTAACAACATTTTATCACGACAGGATATTTTACAAGTACCAACCAACCAAACTTTTGTTCTTTTCAATCGGGACGGTTTCTGTCATGGAATGGTACTATCTCTCCACAACTTACTATGAAATATTTGTGTGAGTAACATACCCAAATCGTGAACCCAGTTTCGCAGTAGGCGGAGGAAATCCACCTAGCATTTCGCGATCAGAGAAGTAAACAACAAGCTCAATTGTAATGGGCATTTTGAGGTCAAATGGTGCAGCGAAGCTGTCGGATAGAGATATGGAGCAACATCGAGAGTATATGAAACAGTACAAAATGCAATTGAGTGATCTGGACAAGCAGGAAATGCAATACAAGGACTATTACGAGCTGCTCGGTATTCATCGCGACGCCTCACATACAGAGGTAAAATTTCTTAAGGGCTGATCATGAACTTACTGAATAAATTCTCTGACTGTTACATTTACCCTCTGCTGCGTAACTTTTAGGTCCGGAAGGCTTATATAAAGTTGGCACTTACTTGTCACCCAGACAGGAAACCGTCGCAGAAGGCACTAGCGCGATGGGAGGGCGTGCCGGCGGCTTATGCCGTATTGTCAAATCCCAACGATCGTGCTGAGTACGACGCCACTTTGCCAACACGCGACGCCCTTGTGGAGTTTTATCGAGCTTACAACCCGGCCAAGTTAAATAACGCCACCATCGAAACCATTATCGAAGGATGGTACGGTCGAGAGGTTGAACTTTTTGAGATGCTCAACTCTAAGTACGAAGTAGCACCACATCAGGGTACCACTAAGTCAGCGCAGCGCGCTGCCATCGCATCAATCTCGCGGGAGAAGGCGCACACGATCGCAATGGATAGCCAGGGGTCCGAATTGAATAGCGCGGCTGAAGCTGAGATTACGTGGACAGGTGCCATAAAGTCTGTCTTTTGTTGCAAGGGCGTGCTCACTCGCTTATTTAGCGCCACCTACTACGAGTTAAATACAACTAGTCCGGGTTTTCTAGCACCCCACGGCGCCTCGGACACACCCGGCCAAGTCAAGGCTACGAATATGCGGTCCCCCGCAACACCTTTGCACTTAACAAAACCTGTGAGCCCAGATTTTGGACTGCCTATTGATGCGGAGAACATGTCCTCAGCATCGACTGCCGACGGATCACCTCCTAGTGGCGACGATTGTTGTGGTAAAATCGATTACAACGTCTCAACACCAACCAACGTCGCGGCGGCTAGTTAAACAAGCTAATCGTACTATAAGAACAAATAAATTATCAATGTGTCTCAATGCCCTTCTGTCTATTGCTCTAGAGCTAGTAAATTACGCTTAGTGTTGTCTTTTCATCAATTGTTTTAAGCATTGATTGATAAGTTTGATCTCAAAAAATAATCAAGTTTCTCTTGAGAAGTTTCTGGGTTCATATTGTTGACAGAAAAGAATCAAGACTTTGAGAGCTTATTATAAAGCATTGGATGCCCCATTATTAAAGCGGTTTTCGTTATTGATTGGTCATTAAAGTCCCTGCAAAGACGGTTGTGTGTGGCTCTGCATTTTGCGTGTCGATATGATATCTCGTATAGTTCTATGCCATCGTGGTGTTTCATCTCGCGCGGTACGCACAGATTGCAGCATTCTTCTGCAGGCGCACGATTTAAATGTATTTATGTTATTTACAGCTATCAACCTCAGCCTTGGAGACCTATTCTTTTGTTCATGCGCGCACTGAATACCGCAAAGAGGTCGCGATGCTACGTAAGGTGTTCATTAAAGAGGAAAAGCATCGCAAACTCAGACTCAAACGTGATGCGGAGTACGTGAAGCTGATACACGCTTAAGATTTTGCGGTAGTGGTAGAAATTTAACCTACTTGTTTCTCCCTTGTGCAGGGCCGAACGCCAGAAATTAACGATGGCGAAAGCGGCTCGATTGGAAATCAAGCGCCAGCAAAGGGAACTCCGCGCAAAGGACGTAGCTTACGAGAAGACCGCGCAGGCCGAGAAAGCAAGGTGGGTCATCTGAATATTTCTGGGCTTCAGACTTATTGTTGTAAACAAGCAATCATTTTCTATGACTGACTGGTTTCTTAATGTAGAAAGCGCTTTGAGGAAAAGAATTCGATACGACAGGAGCGAGCTGCCGAGGTGGAGCGCCGTCGCGAAGCGCTGTTGGTATCACTGCGTCAGCAAGTCAATAAATGGACAACTGCGGAGAATTATTCGGAAAAGCTAAAAGAGGACGTATTTATCTACTCTCCGCATCAAATCTCAGCGCGAGGATTATTTGACATATCAAACACGTCAGGCAGTGCCATCTCTTGGTTAGAAAAGCTGCAGCGAATGAAGCCTGCTGGCATGCTTGATAGCAGTGATGAAGCTGCAGCATCCACCGTTGCATCAACAGCTGATGACGAGGACTCTTCATCACACGTCTTGAGCACTGATGCCAGCAACATTATGGAAGCGTCAAAGGTGAAAAAGACGGATTAAGCCGCTATTTGCGCTTATGAATGAGACACCATAAACAAATATTTGGATACTTCCTTAGCCTCGATTTCAGTACAACGATTGTCTTGCTCATAAAATTTCGTACTTAGCATGAATAAGTGAGGGAGGCGTGGAAATCTTAGAATCTTTTGAGCTGTCGAGTCGAGAGCAATGGTAACAGCAGAGCAGGCCTTCCAGGCGAACGCGGCAGCGGTAGTTCGCGATTACTTCGTGGAGCCAAGAATCGGTGTGTCATATGTACTACATACATAGTCTCTAGATCGCTCGAACTGATTGAGTCTGCTTGCGACCTTCGACAGATTATCGTACCATCTCAGGCGTGAACGGCCCATTGGTCATTCTGGAGAACGTCAAGGTACTATATATTCGGATAACATAGTGCATTGTCGACAGAAATGATGAAAACTATACATGGCTTATCAAAAATCTTATACAGCTGCCAAAGTTCGCCGAAATTGTCAACCTTACGCTGGCTAGTGGCGAAAAGCGTCAAGGAAAAGTGTTGGAGGTGCAAGGTAGCAAAGCCGTTGTGCAAGTATTTGAAGGTACAGATGGCATCGATAACCGCCACACGCACTGTGAGTTTACGGGTGATGTACTGAAGATGGCCATTTCGGAGGAGATGCTTGGTCGCGCTTTCAACGGTTCTGGGAAGGCAATCGATGGTGCGCCTGCCGTCGTAGCCGAGGAATATCTAGATATTGAAGGCCAGCCGATCAACCCTTCGTGTCGTGACTACCCGAAAGAAATGATGCAGACTGGCATCTCGGCTATCGATGTGATGAACTCCATCGCGCGTGGGCAGAAAATTCCGCTATTCTCCGCTGCTGGGTTGCCACACAACGAGGTAAAAAGCAACGAAAATGGGAAAAGTTATTATATTAACGGTCGTGTGCAATGTGATTGAAACTGCACATTGTGCATTTGATACAGATTGCCGCGCAAATTGTGCGCCAGGCTGGTTTGGTGCAGCGCAAAGACGTTGTGGATTCTCATGATGACAATTTCGCCATTGTGTTTGGCGCAATGGGTGTAAACATGGAAACAGCTCGATTCTTTCGTAACGATTTTGAGGAAAGTGGATCTATGCAGAAAACAGCGCTATTTATGAATCTGGCCAATGATCCTACTATTGAACGTATCGTGACGCCGCGTCTGGCATTGACCACGGCCGAGTACCTCGCTTACGAGCGGGACATGCATGTGCTAGTTATATTAACGGATATGAGCTCATATGCTGATGCCCTTCGTGAGGTATCTGCTGCGCGTGAAGAAGTGCCTGGGCGTCGTGGTTATCCAGGATACATGTATACTGATCTTTCAACGTTGTACGAGCGTGCTGGTCGCGTGACAGGCCGCAATGGCTCTATCACACAGCTACCCATTTTAACTATGCCTAATGACGATATAACGCATCCCATTCCAGATTTGACGGGCTACATTACAGAAGGCCAGGTATTTATAGTTGTGCTCTTGAGAAAGCATGCTGTATGAATTGCTCATTTCGTTTTCTTTGCTGACAAATCTATAGATTTATGTAGATCGTCAGTTGCACAACCGTCAGATCTTTCCACCCATTAATGTGTTGCCGTCTTTGTCGCGTTTGATGAAAAGTGCCATTGGCGAGGGTATGACGCGTGATGATCACAGTGCTGTGTCAAATCAATTGGTAGGTTAGCTATGCATTACATTATCTGTGCTACCTTCGACTTATAATTAATTGAAAACAGTATGCCAGTTACGCTACCGGAAAAGATGTTCAGGCTATGAAAGCTGTGGTTGGAGAGGAAGCGCTTTCGCTGGAAGACCATCTATACCTTAAGTTTACGGATAAATTTGAGGGAAAATTCATCGCTCAAGGTCCGTACCAGTCTCGTGATATTTTTGAGTCTTTGGATCTCGCATGGTCGCTTTTCCGCGCCTTTCCGAAAGAGTTATTAAAAAAGATTCCCAAAAAGCACTTGGACACTTATTATGCGCGCCGGACGCAAGTGCGTGAGGAGAAGGAAGAGGTGCGCCGTCAGGCTTCAAATAATTGACTCTGCCAATTGCTGACGTTCCTTTTTTACCTGTAGTAATCATGCCCTAAGTTGCTAACACCTCGTCGCATGGCGGTAACGGAGTAGAGCTGTCAGCGAGAGGTTGTGTAAGCTTTGCATTGTCAATCACGCTTTTGTAGGCACCACAACCTTGCTTTAAATGTACTAAAAAAAATAAAAATCTAGATAAAACAGATACTCTAACTTCTTGTTAACTGGAACTCGGTGAAGATTGCTTCCGTTTTCGTTGTCTGACAGCTGATGACAGTTTGCCCGTCTGCCATTCCGGATCTGTGTGCTCAAACACAAGACGACACTGTCTTACACTTAGGTGTCGCTTGCGGCATGATTCGCACATTCGCTTCAAGTTGGGATTTTTAGCTGCAATGCAAAGAAAACAGATTACACGCCAATGATAATAATCAAGTGATGCATAAAAATTAGTGGCTCACCAGGGGGACGAACAGAAGCAATATGCCGAACTGGTAAAGTCGTTTGTAGCTGTGGGTGCCGATGAGGCGTTGTCAGTGCTCCTCCAACAACTTGAGGGTAATACATTAGTGGTGCTGCCCCAGGAAAAGCCAAAAGCATGTTAGGCATGAAGCGTGCTGGAGGTAATGCGATCTTGGGAATGCTGTTTCGATCTGTAGCCGGCTTAATATACTGCTGATTATAAAAATGCGCCGATGGAGCAGGAAATGCCGATGGCAAAGTGGCGAGAAGGCTTGCAAACATTAGGTTTGAATGCGGCATGGGAGGGACAGAATCCGCTGCGTTGTTTTCTAAAATTTCAGCGACGTATTGATGCGCGCGCAGCTGATTTGCCAACGCTATTCCGGCCAGTCCTTGCTGTGTTTGCGTCTCTCCAGCCTTCGCAGTAGTGACTTCCAGCTTGTCATTAAGGTTTTGACTCAAAATTACACTGGCACTTTCTTCTTCAAGCACCCGATGACGTGATTCAATCCACTGCTCTTTCGATCGCTGAGTCTGGCGAATTTTCTCCTCTGCCTCAATAGCTGTTAGCAGCGCACCATGTTGCACCTTCTCTCTTGCAGTTTTTTTCATTGTTAGCTCTGATTTTGCGTTAGAAAGCATAGGGTCTACTTCACTTGCACCTTCAGTAGTCAGATCGACTACCATTGGAGGCAATTCATTAGAACTCTTCTGCAAAATATACCGCAACATGTCACTCTACGCATTGGATGTTAGCGATGCAACGTCAAGTACCGTGCTGGGAAGGTAAAATATGTCGCTGCTGATGATATTGGTACTATATACGCCGAACATAGAGTCGACAAACTTGGCCATTTCCATCAAATCTCGGTGTAGAACGCACTGGTAGCTACAAAACATGTCAACTATGTACCTGCATAACTTCTATCCATTTCGAAATCTAAAGCACACTGACGCAATGAGTCCATCGATGTCGCCTTCCCCCTGGCTTTCGGCTACCGCTGTGATCAGGTCCTCATTAACTAATAGCATCTGTGAACAAACAGAGTTATAAACCCTCATGACAATGTGAAGTATCACTCAGGTGTGTACATCTGCAAAAATATCAGAAATGGAAGATGTCCCATTACTATCTTCGTTGCTTGCCGCAGCCGCATGTGGCAACTTCCAACGATGGCTGCTCATCTTGCATTTTGGCGCTAAAAGGAGAATGTATGCGCTGAAATAGCAATAAAAGGACTATAATAACGGCAGAAATTTGTTTAAATACCAGTACTTGCACAAATCATTGGTGCAAAGGTACGTTCTAAGGGACTATAGATGCCATTTAATGCACAGGTTGAGCGGACAATGTAGCCTAAACCAATCCGTTTGTCCACTAGCGTACGTTAATGGAAAGATCGCGGAATGTAACTTTATCCTAATGTGCATACACAGCATGTTGAAACAACGCGTCATTTGAGTGATTGTAGTTACTTAAATGTGAAGCTCCGAACCGTTACTTGAACCGGTTCCATATCGCCGAACCGACGTAATGTTGACAGTTATGATTTTGGTAGGCTTTATGCACAATGCGGAACCGAGTTCCCAAGTTCCACAAACAAAACTTTGCATTGTCTCTTTATCTCCTATTCCTTCGATACCATAACCCCATCTATAAATGTAAGCATATGAAAGTACAGGAATCTGGGACCCAATGAACCACAGCCCTTCAAGTCATTAGAACCTGGATCCGAAAGTTTTAAGACTAAAGTTTCCACAATTTTTCAACCAGTTGCAATGCCCGTTGAACTGAAGCCACAATTGCTTTAGTAAGTATGACATAATTTTGAAACCGAAAGCAGAGGATTGGAGAAAGCGCAGCAGGTAGCGACGATCGCGCGAGATAGCAACACCCTACTTGCAGCGGGACTGCCGTAGCTTTGCGCTTAAAAGAAGCTTTATTTAGATCACCGACCTTGAGTTCTGCACAAGAACCAGTACGAGTGTAGCGGATCGCAATCCGCTACCTTCAAGAGGAGTGAGAACCTTAACCCAAGGCTAAACAACTCTTCTGTTTGAAATGTAACCTGTAATTATTTGTTTTATCTGCGGCAAAGCCGCCTAATCTTAAATGTATAGATTTTCCTAAATATATATAGTAAAATCTAAAAACATGCATAACTACTGGCTACCCAGCCACGTACCGTATTTTTATTTGGGTGCAGTCACACCATGCGCCCAAATAAGAAAACGGTTCTGTTACCAGGGTACGTGTAACCCCGTTACACTCTCCCCCATTAAAAATTG